GACGACCCTTTCAAAGGACCTTTTCCCCACTGTTCTCATGTTGCTCTGTTTATTTCCCTCAGAAGAAACATTTTTCTTGTGATTTATTTGTTTATGGTCCACTCACATGGATTCTGAGTTCTATTTTTAACTGAGTTTCTTATGTGGCCGTATGTCCTTGAACAAATAATCGTCTAAATTTCTTCAATTGTAATAGTTAATAGAATTTCTATCATTCAAAAAATGGGTTAATATCGGTATAATGCCTAGAATAACCCCTGCTTCTTCCTACCACAATATTTGGGAAGTAACAGGCACTGGATAAAATTACCTCCGGCAAGGATTGTGACCAAATGGGAAAAGGAACTTACCCATCTTCACCAGCAGACGGCGCCAGCACACAAAGAAACGTTAAAACTGGCAGGAACGCAAATCAGCTTATAGAAGTCGTTCGTAGCTGGAGGGGGAGGGAGGACCTTGCCCAGACATGACTCAATGCAAGTATTCCAAAAGGAGCGTCAGGAAGCTACAACAGTCGGAGTGGAGAGACTAAGGCTAAATCACTATGCTTTGCATGATTACATCTTCTAAAACTGCTTTGTTTTCCTGTTTAACCACTTGACTGAATAGTAATGAAGAGCTGGTGTGCAGCCATCTTCAGAAACAGCAACTTCAGCTTAATGAAGTCGGAGGTTGTGGAGCCAAAGGTGAGCATCTGACGTGCAATAAAGAGAGGTCACCAGCCCTTGGTGATTCTTGATTCTCAAGCTCACAGTGCACCAGGACTGGGGGCCGTAAGAAAACCAGACCCCTCGTCTGGGGGTCGTTCTCCAGGTCTGGTTGGAAAACGGGCTAGAACCCAGTCCAGCAGAAATAAGGTACAGTGAGTGATGGGAAGAAGAGACGAGGGCAGAAACAGTGGGGACTCTGATTGTCTTGACACCGTCCGTCTTGGGAAGGCTTCTCAGGCAGTGGGAGCTAGCTGTGTGAGCAGAGGTGCGGATCTGAGCAGGTGGGCCCGTTACACAACTGAGGAGTGCAGTGTGACCACACAACAGCGTTCAAGAAGGAGCTTAGCGAGCTGGAGGTCAGGGTCAAGGACAGGCGCTGTACTTCTGCGGTGCTGGCAGACTAGCTCGTCTAGCAGTCTGGCACTTTTCCTGCTCCCTTCTAGGTCTTGTCAGAAGTCCGGGGCCCACCAGCCGGGTACGGTCCCAGCCTATTCTCGTACCAATGGAATGGTTAACAGTGGCCCCCTTCAGCCACCAAGTGTCCTAGTTTGGGTGGTCGCTGAGGGCGGCCACGGCGCTCAGGATGTGTTTGCTGAGATGGACAGCAGCAGAGTCAATGCAGCAAGTGCTCGTGGAGATCAGAGACCCAGGAGGAATGAATTGCAGCTCTGGGGTGCAGAACACACCCCTTTCTCCTTTCAGGAAAGGGTAGAGAGGACCCTTGCCTTCAGAGGGACCCCCGGGGCAGGGTTTCTGCCTGCAGGAGGCTGGGTGGGGGGTTTTGGATGGGAGCTGCCACCCCTTTGCCATTTGCTCTCTTTTTCCACTGGAGCTGTAGGCTCCGGTCTGGCCACAGAGGTGGAGATACTCAGTCTAGTGGTGGGACCATTTTGCCAGATATTAGGACCCAGAGCAGGACGGGGTGGCCCCAGAGCATCCTGGGCTCTGGCTCTTCTCTGCTCCCCACATCCTGTGTGACTTGGGTGAGCTCCTGCCTCAGTACAATGGCTAGTTGAGGCTGTCTGCATGGGGCTAGCTAACGCCTGGAGGATGGCCCAGAGGCAGAAGGAGGAGGTGGAGGAGGAGTGACTGGGAGCATGGGGGTGGTGGAATGGGGACTCTGAAGGTGGCCATCCATATCCCCATGGGAATAGTAACGGCCCCATCACTTCTCCCAGGCTGGGAAAGGCCATGCCCATAAATCAGGGCCTTGCGTCTGCTGGGAAGAGACATAATGAAGGTGAAGGACTTGTGTGAGAGCAGACAGGGCCTCGGGAGGTCCCCAGTCCAGCCCCAGCCTGCACTGAATGCTCATGGAAGCAGAGAGGACTGGGAGGGGGTATCCAAGGTCACACCCCTTTTCTCAAGTGTCAGACTGCGCCAGGAGGGTAGGAACTGCTCTGCTGTGCTCTCTGCTGTACCCCAGTCGCAGCCCACATAGGGTCTCAGGCAGTATTTCTGACCAAGAGCAAAGGACTGACAAGCAGTGCTGAGCTCAGACTGAAGTTCCATCCTCTGGACTCTAGCTGGGCCCTTGGCAGTTGCCACCCAGGTGTCAAGGGGCATGGGGAGGGGAGGGGTCAAAGATGTAAAAGGCTTCTCAAGGAGACGGAGATCGTGGTTTCCCTTTGTTCTTGAGAGGAAATTCACAGTTCTCTCAGGGCCATAGAACCCTGAGAAGTCTGACATGTTTCTCAAAGTGTGTGGCTGTTTCACGACTCTCACATTTCTGACATTTACACACTCTTCCTCTCCCTCTCCTGTTCTCTACCATACCTGCTCTTTAAAGGGACCTCTTGGAGGGAGTTCTCCCCACTGCCACTAGTCCTTTGTAGTCCCCGAGCCTCCAGGCTCCTGGCCACCTTAGACTTCCAGTCACCACATTTGCAGCAAATGATTAATGGGGGAGACTGAGAATTCATGAGGGTCTCGGCACTGCCAAGAGAGAAGTCTGGAGTGGGGGGAGGCCGTGGCAGGCGTCAGGCATCATAGCAGGAACAGCTGGGTCCCTCCAGCTCAACTTTGCTCAAGGTGTCCTCTGGTCGCCCACGTATGGCTCCTTCCCATACATCCCTGCCCCTCTAACTCCCAAGGGCATGGGAGAGGTCTGATTCCTCTGTTTCCAGGACCCAGTATAAAGTCTGGCACAAAAAGGATAGGCAGAAGGAAGAAGATTGAGGCAGCTTTGCTCTTCACATCTTCCCACTTGCCTGACTTCTCTGAAGACAGGTGACCCTCTAATGTCTTCCAGTGGAGAACGCTAGGAAAGCAGATCTATCTTACCCACACACATCCGGCCACTTACCACTGGCAATTCCTGGCCATCTCCGATTCAGACTAGTAAGATTTTCCTGCCTCCAGGTCCTGCTCAAGTTGATACTTGTGATTGTTTTCTGTTCTGCAAACTCCTACCCATCTTTCAAAACCTTGCTCAAATGTGACTTCTTATTAAAAAGAAGCCTCCCCAAGTTTAGTTAAGAGCCCATCCTCTGGGCCCTCCCTGGTGGTACAGTGGGTCAAAGCATAACACTAAAGAGTTGAAGCCACTTCAGCATGAGTTCAACCCCTGGCCCTGCTGGTGACCCACGTGGCGTGGCAGACTTCTCCTGGCCCACCCACTGCGCCCCTCAGCAGTGTACTTCGTTGGTGGACCTGTTCTGCTCCCCACTCTGTCTCTGGTGAGTCCTCTCTCCACTCCTGCACCTCTGGCCTGTACCCTAGTTCTGTATGCATAAATAAATGCTTTTTTTTTTCTTTTTTTTAAAGAGCCCATCCTCTAAGCTCTCACAGGGACTTATTTTTTCTATATTTCTATTGGATGTGATTCCTTCCCTGGGTCATTAGTTTCCTAGGCTTGGCAGGGCTTTGTAGAGGCTGAATAAATGGTTGGATTTGGAGAGGAGGGAAAGCTGGGGATGCTGGGAATCAATTGATAGTCCCTTAAGGTTATAGGCAATGACAGGCCGCAAGGAAGGTAGCATCCCAGAGACTATATTTAAAGGGAATCCTGAATGCATTAAGGTCAAATACCAGTTGGCATATAGTAGGCATTCAATTAGTTGATTTTGACAACTATTGATTTGAAGCTTAGTTTAATACCAGCTCTCATATAAAACCCTCAAAGATTTTTGCTGACAATAATCCCACAGTAGTCTTGCTTTAATTGCCCAGACTTATTGCAGTCTTTGTATATCACCAGAGGAGGTAACCCATGTAGAGAGACACACTTCTCTAAAGCTTTAGCGAGACTATCATTATTTTGCTTTGGGGAACTGGCACCCTTTGAAGGTTATTGATAGAGGGGAATGCTTTAGTAGAATTAAACCCCTTTTCATGAGGAATGACTCAGTGAAAGGGGCATGGAATTTGTTGGGAGAGGATAAGGAAACAGATGCACAATCTCTAACTCAGAAGAGCTGCTTGGAGGGAAGCTGTTTCTGTCCCCAAGGCGAAGCCAGAATGACAGGGAGTCCCAGCAGGTCCTTCTGACACTGGAAAGCTGCTCCAGAAGGGTGAGAGGGCGCCTGGTGGAGACAGCTGAGGACTCTAAGGACTCCACTTTATTTGGGCTCCTTCTCAACATGTAGGAGGCACAAATTCTAGACTGATGTGGCCCTACATTTCAAAAATGCTAAAATTCTAGGCTTCTGACATGTGGCCCGAGGGCATCAGAACCTGAATGCAAAATAACCCAGCCTGGGACCTAAAGGCAGGAGACACAACTCTCAGCATAGCTCTGCTGGCCCAAAACTCACCTGGCCCCTTGTTCCACATCGCTGGGGGTCATTTAATCTATCTCCCTCACCCCTCCACCCCCCACAACTGCTTCTCCTCTCAGCCGCTCACCATAGCTCTTACTGGTCTAGCCAGAAGAGCAGGGTATGATATAAGCGAGCATCAGGTAATTCATCAGGGTGTTAAGCCACAGCAGCAAAAAATTCTCCTCTTCCTGTCTGAATGAACTGATTCTCACTCTCTGTACTGGTTTCCTTCTGCACCGCCTCATCTAATGCAGTGATGAGGAAGAGGGCACAGAGGAAGGACAGGATTCCACCCTAGCTGTGATAACTCCATCTCAGAGGTTTAAAAGCAGACGGGTTTGGAGAACAATACTGTCCCCATGAGAAGTCCCTCCATGCATCTAGCCTCAACCTTGCTACATGCTGTCGGAACCCATTTCTTGTCCCATCACCGAGAAGAAGACACCAATGGTTCACAATGTCCTCCCCCAATACCCTCCCCACCCCCTTCAGTGCCCCAAGGTCAGCAGGAATGAGATGGCACCACTTAGAAGAGCAGAAGCTCTGAGATTATTGCAGACTTTATAGAAAACTGCCCAAGGGAGATCCAGATTTTTGGATGGCGGTGGGGAGGCAGGCTTCAAGCCAGTATGTTGGAGAAGGGTGACTTCCTGTGTGCAGTGACAGCACAGGGCAGCCATTCTGCCTGACCTAGGGGGTGGGAGGCAGGGAGAGGCAGCCCCTCCCTGTTCTCCATTGTGCTTTGGGATCATGCAGAAGGCAGGGCACCAAGGCTCTGACCCTGAACAGGAGGGCTTGTGCCTGAGACGGGAGGCAGGACCCCCTTCCTCTTCCGGAAGGAATGTGGGGTGAGTGCACAGTGGCAAGGAATCCCCAGGGGAGAAGAGTCACACAGGTGAGAATGAGCCTGGGGGCAGCAGCACCCTGTCCTGAGCCCCCCCACCCCACGCTGGTCCTAATGGACCAGTGACCCTGGTTCTGAGGCCAGACCATCCACTTTGCATCCTCAGGACTCTCTCCTCCCCCTTGGAGATCTGTGCCAACATGGGTAGGGAGGGGTGCTTGGCACCTGCACCCGTCTTGCAGGGCTGGAGTGCTCATCCTGGGAGGAAAGAAGGGTGTGCAGACCCCGGAGATGAACTCCTCCCTGGAGCCTGACCTAGTGAGTGGCAGGGGTGGGTAATGAGTGCAAGCCATGGGCATGGGGGGAAGAAGAGCCTAAGACTTGGGCAAGGGAATGAAACTCAGACTGGGGATGGAGGGCTGAGGGTATGAGATGGGACAAGCACTGAGTAACCGCAGAGCAGAGCTGGAGGACAGGCCAAGGATCCACGCCACCCAGGCTAAAACGGGGTGTGCCTGCCCCTGGGATAAGAGACAGAAATCAGCTAAGCCCCAAGCCTGGGCTAAGGAAGAGAGGGCCTGAGCCAGCGCTGGGTGGTGGGAGGTAGGAAACACCTCAGATTGGGAGAGGGCGCCCAATCCTCAGTACCCCAGGATATGGGTCTCCGTGCAAGAGGGAGGGCTCAGAGCTCCAGGCTGAGAGAAAAGGCTCGAAGTCCACAAATACCTTCCGGTGGGATGCTCTGCTCTGGGACCGATATGGGATGTGAGGGTGCCTGAGCCCTAGAAAGGAAGTTGTGGTCTGCAGGATGGAGATGGAGGGTCTGTTTAGGTCTTAGGGGCTCTGATGTTCTGGCTAAGAGTTCAGGGCTCAAAGAGCAGGGTGGTGACGGTGGTCTCCGGGCTAGGATCGAAGAACAGGGTCTCTGATGCGTCCTGAAAGGGGGAAGGGGCTTTGGGTGGTCCAGGAGAGATGAGTCAGAGCCTGGGATGGGAGGATGGGGTTTCTGGGATCAGAAGGAGGTGTCTTTAGGTCTCTGATGGTGAAAGCTCTTACAGGCCTAGAGTGGGGGTAAAGCTTGGAGCCAGGAGTGGGGGAAGCATAATCCAAATCAGACAGGGGCAGGTCTGACAGCCCCAGCTTGCGGGTGCTTCATACCCACAGCTTCAGGCCAGGTAGGGGGAGGCCAGGGTGCCCCTGCAAGGTCAGCTGGCAGCGGCAGCCGGCAACCCCCTTCGGAGCAGCTCAGAGGCCGGAGCCCGGCGAGGTGGCGCGGGAGCCCGCGGGGGCGGCCGGGGCAGGGGCACGGCGCGGGTCGGCGTCCTGCTCGTAGCGGTAGTGGTAGCCCTCCATCTGGTCCCGGCAGGCCTCGCGCAAGTTGCGCATCCAGCGCTGGATGCCGCGGCGGTTTAGGTAGAGCACCATTAGGAAGATGAGGCCGATGAGCGCCAGCACCAGCCCGAAGAAGACATAGGAGGCTTCCAGCTCCGGGCTGGCGAGTTCCACATCTTCTCCGCGACCGTGGCCGTCGTTGCAGTGCAGCCGCGCCTCGTCGGTGTCCAGGAAAGGCCGGTCGAGCAGCGCCCGCGGGGCGGCGCAGCGCAGGCGCCGCGCGTCGGGCACGCGCTCCGTGGCATTGCGCAGCCAGGCCAGCAGGGGGCGCGCGGCACAGCCGCAGCGCAGGGGGTTGTCCGCCAGCAGCAGGCGCGGAGCGGGGAGGCCGCCATCGCGCTCCAGCGCACGCAGCTCGTCGGGGCTCAGGCCGGCCAGCGAGTTGAGGCGCGCATCCAGCTGCTCGAGGTGTGGCCGGCGCAGCGCGGCGGGCGGCAGCCGGCTCAGCGCGTTGTCCGCCAGGCCGAGGAAACGCAGCTCGTCCAGCTGATCGAGGGCGGCGTCCAGAGTGGCCAGCAGCGCGGGGCCGCCCCGCGTCAGCGCGCGGTTGAGCTGCAGCGAGCGCAGCGTCCGCAGCCCACGGAAGGCGCCGCCGCCCAGGGCGCGCAGCGGGTTGTGGCTCAGGTCTAGCGCCGTCAGACTGGGCAGCCCGTCGAAGGCGCCGTCCTCCACCACTTCGATGTTGTTGTGCGTGAGGCGCAGCGCGGTCAGGAGCGGCAGACGCACGCCGGCTGCAGCCTCCTCCCCGTCCGCGTCCCCGCCGGCGAAGGCGGCAGCGCGCAGCACCGTCAGGTTGGCGCCCACGATGGTGAGGTTGCGCGCGTCGGGCGGCACGTCCCGCGGCGGCTGCCGGAGCTCGGCGCCCGACGCGCAGCGCAACAGCAGCTTGGGGCTGCCGAAGCAGTAGCACTGGAAGGGGCAGGTCGCAGCGGTCCGGCTCAGCGCCGCCGCCACGAGCAGCAGCCCCGGCAGCAGCGGCCCCCGGAGCTCCGACTGTCCCGGGCGCGGGGCCATCGCGGCTGCCCCCGCATCCAGCGCCTGGGCCGCCGCCGCGCTCACCAGTGAGTTCGGAGCGCCTTGGGGCGGGGAGGGGGACGGGCGGGGCAAGTCCTTGACCCGGAGAGGCTGGAAGTCGCGGTCGGCCCGTCTGCTCTCTCCAAAGTCCGAAGAGCCTCCACTTCCTGGCGGGGGCTGGAGGGGTCAGGGGGGAGCGGAGCCCCCCGCCCCCGGTGCCCTCCTCGCCCGGTGTGCCGGCCTCCGACTTCAGCGGCCGTTCCGGGCTCGGAGCCGAGTGGGCAGGGTTTGCCTCCCCCCTCCCCGCCTCCCGGCCTCCTCCTCCGCCCCCAGCGGAGTCTCCGCGCCCTCCTCGCGGAGAGGCGGGGTGGGAGGCTCCCGAGAATCACGGCTTTCCGCTGCTGCGCTTTTTCTTCCCCCTCCTCCGGCTCCTGGGCTGCAGAGAAGTTTAGCTCGCGAGGCTGACTTGCTTTCCCCTCACTTTACCCCATCCCCCGCGTTTAAGCCGGTGGCTTCCTCCTCCCTCTCGAGCACGTGTGGGGTGGGGCGGGGCCGGGCGGAGAAGAGCTGGCAGGTGGGTCTGCACCACGGCGCGAGAATGTGGGGGAGTGTATAGTTCCCCCTACAGCGAGGCAGGGATGGGGTTGGATAGACAAAGTTACTCCTTTTCCAGCCTCTTCCTAATCTCCGATGGAGAGGGCCGTGCTTGGAGAGACTGGAAAATCCCCAGCTGGCCCCCTCCTTAGTGACCCTACTTAAATTAGGCCTGGAGGTGTCACCACCCCTGTGGGTCCAGTGGGACCAGTGTTTTCTTGACTGCCCATCCCATTCTCCTGGGACTCTGCGACTCCTCTCTTCAGCCCTCTCCTCCACCCCCCAACTCAGTGACCGCTGGCCTGGAGTTCTTCCATCTGCCCTCCCCCATTACCCGGGCTTCTCCTGCAAGCATTCTCCTAACCCTAGCCCTGGGACCCTGGGGTGGAGTGGTTCAGCTCTTTGCTTTCCCCACCTTGCCTGACCATCAGAGCGCCCCACTGGGCTGTTCTATTGGGTCTCAGATTCTGAGGTTCCTTGGACACCATCTACCTGCCCCTCCTTCCCTCCAGAATGCCCCACCTGTAAGTGGTAATTGGGGGGGGGAGGGTTTAGTACTCTAGAACTTGGAAGAACAGGCACATATTTTGCAGCATAGAGGGGGTGTGGGGGGTGCTTCAGAGAGAGCCTGGACTGAGGTGGGGGTGCCAGGTGTTTATAGGTCTGTTTTGTGCGGGCTTTTTTTCTCCCTAAGAATGGGAAGCTCCAGACCCGATTTAAAGAGACAGGCTCCTGAGAAGGGAGCCCTCCTCATCTTGGCATGAATTATTCAGGCTGGAGAAAGACACTTGATCTGCAGGCCATTCTGCTATCAGCAGAACAGGTTGGGATAGAGGCTCCCCCCAACCGAAGAATCAGTCTCTTTCTCCTGAATTAGACATGGTTGCTGGTTGATTCCTTCCCAGAGGTTATATTTAACAGATCAATACCACTTAAGGAGAAGAGGCAGACCCTGTGGTGGCCTGGGTCTCAGACAGGGACCGACACTGAGGACCAGGGCTATTAGTGCTGCCCTCCCCCTTCCTGCTCTCCCTCATCATTCCCAGATTTTAGTAGATGAAAGCAGTAACTCGCACATGTGGGAGTGGGTATGTTTGTAGATGTACAAGTGCATATGTACAGGCAAGGCTTAACATATAAACAGACAGCCAGGCGTGTCTGCACATGAGTGTCAGCCCAGCTCCGGTGGGTGTTCATGAGAATGTACGGAGAAGCTTGTATTGTTTATACAAGACTACAGACAGTTTCCTGCGTACCTCATGCGATTATATTCAGGTGCATTTGTGTGTGTGCTTATATATATGTAGGTTTGAGTGCATCCTGGTGTGTGTGCATTCATTCGTAATTACAAACTTGAACATTCATGCCTCCAAGCCCTTGCAGCTTCCAGTGCAGTCTCAGAGGGGCAAACTTGTAGGTCTTTGTATGCAAACTCATGCATCCAAAGACTGACCGACACCCTCAGCCTAGTCCTGCCCTCTACCGTGCCCTGGTCTATAGACTAATAGGCTATGGTGTCTTTCTCGTGTGGGCTCAAACAGATGCTTCCAAGGCTGGGCCTTCTACTGCCCCTGAGCTATTATATGCATCTCAGCCCTGGTCCACTTCACCTCCAAGTCCCAGCTCTGATATCTTCCCCCAGCCGGAGGCACGGGGCGTTCACTACTGTATCTCTGGCATAGGAACTAGCACGAGAGATTGTGCAGTACATGTAGATGAATGGAAGGTTCTCTGATCCCCTGTCCTGTTGCTGACATCCTCTTCTACCTCTGGCTATCTAGGAACCAGGCCACTCTGGAATCAAGCCAGAGCCCCCTTTCCAGCTCTGATGGCATTCCTGAGAAAGGGTTGTGGGAAATCAGACAGCCATGATTGGGACTGCTAGACACTTCAAGGGGAAAGAGGAGACCGTGGAGACCTAGAACCAGAGAACAAAGCAGTGACCATATCTTATAAGTGGGGGAACAGACCAGAAGTCCAGGAACTTGCACCCAAGCCCCAAAGGTTGTCAGCTCTTTGCCTGGAAACCTTGCCCCTGGCTTTGCCCAAGGTAGTAAGGCCTAGCATCACAGAGAATTCCCATCCTGACCATAGGAAGCTGAGACTTGAGCAGAAGCCGGGGTGGATCTGGTACAACCTTGAACCTCTCTTCTCACCTCTGAGCTGTCAGCTTCTGTTGGACACTTCTGTAAAGTAAGCGGTCTTCTGGATTCCTGTTCTTCCTAGTCTTCTTGGAGCTGTTGCGATAGTGAAAAGAAAGTGTTTCCAGACTAGAAAAGCCATATCACCGAGGGGCTGGGGCCTGGCACACATCCTGCCATGCTTTCACTGTGTGACTCTAGGCTCTGGACATATCTCTTTTCTGGAACTAATTACCATTCCTGTCATTTTTCTTTGTTTCACCTTTCTCCCCCAACACAGCAAATTCTTAGTGGTTATTAAAATGATTTAGTTTCTACTTGCTGTCGGTGTATGGCCTCTATCCAGCCATCTCCCCAATCTCCTGCTTTTGTGTAAGTGTTCCTCTTCTCTGTCCAAGTTCTCCCAGAACAAAGCCTGTGAGTAATTTGGGGTCTCTGTGCCCTGGTGGAACAACCCTCTTCATCTCGGGGTTGTCAGTGGCTGTATAAAGTAGGTGTTCAATAAATGTGCGTGCAGTTAGACCGGAGGCTGCTTATTTTCTGATGCATCCAGTGGATGCAGCCGCTTGGATTGTTCGCTCTAACTGGGGTGCTTTCTCCCTTTGACTATATTTCTCCAGTGCAATGTGTTGTCTTTCAGGGTTCCACTTTAATTTCCCCCCTCCAGGAAGCCTTCATGACTTCCTTCTCTGTCCTTTGAACTTCATTGATTTACAGAGCGTTACAGCACCCCAGAGCCCCCTGATTGTCAGCATCTAGGGCTCAGACTGATTTGATTTCCTGTGTTGACAGCACACAGATGAGAACTCAACACAGAGAGGCACAGGGAAGATTTATTGAATGAAACAAAGATGTGAAAGTCTCGGAGGATCTCCCATCTATACCAAGAGACAAGCATTCAGAAAGGTTAAGTGCTTTCCCCAAGGTTGCACAGCTGACTGGGACCTGAGCCCAACAGGAGCTCAGGTTTCCTGCTCATCTCCTTTGCCGCAGCCCTCCCCACCCTAGGCTTCCTCTTTGGGGAGTGTGACTGGGTCGCATCCCAGGGGGGCTGTGGGCAAAGCGCTCAGGTCCTCAGGGTTTCTTTAGGACTTAGAGCAAGCAAGCCCTCAGCAGAGTGAACCTCTGCCCTTTGCTGGGTAGAGGATTCCCTGTGTCAGTCACATTGGATCCCGATTCCTAAATTTATTATCCCACATAGCTGCAGAGCCCTCGAGCCTTGCAGGAGACTGTATCCTTCCCTGAGGAGCCCTTCACTGGTCCCTTTTCTCCCCACAGAGACCCTGCCCTCTGAGCCTAGGTGGGCGCCCGGAGAGGTCTGGGCACTTCACCCAGCAGGCCTTTTCCCTAGCTCCTCTTTGTCCTGGGAGGCATCTCCATGTTACCGGAGCCTTTGGAAATCCAACTTTCCAGGTCTGTTTCCCTGTGTGCAACAAGGAGCTATGTAGACCACACGATATCTGAGCGCTTTTGAGTCTGTGCTCTTTGGCATTTTGGGGGTGGAGCTCAGGGAGGTAAAGATAATCCTGTGATTTGCCCAAGTTGGTGCCCCCATCTTCTCAGTGCACGACCTTGAGGTCGGCCCCACACCAGCTGGTAATAAGGTCTGGTGTCCCGGGCCTGCTGCTGGCCGCCCTCACGCCCCTCCCTTCCCCTGCTCTTCCTTCCTAGGGAGGCAAGTGGAGGAGCAGCCCGCAGGCCTGACAAGATGAAACTCAGTTGTTAGGTGGTGGGGGAGGCCCCAGGTTCTCTCTTACGTAGCTTCTGCACGACTGGGAGGGGAAAACTCCACTGCCGGCCTCACTGTTCCCATTTCTCACTCTCCCTCCCCCACTGCCTAAGAAGCAGGAAAATCCATAGGCCCAAGATTAATTTCTCTATTGAGTCAGAACAGGCCACGCTCTGCTTGAGGGTGGGAGGGGAGGGGGGTAGGGAGGGTGAAGGGCCAACTGGCTTTTAAATAACTCTGCGATATTTAATACCCTCCTCCTCCTCTCTGTCTGGAATCTCTAGGGAAAGGCTAGAATAAATGAGTTGGATGAGTCCTCTGAATGTCATTAGTGCTTCTGCCTTCATGCAGGCCCTCCCTCTATCCCTGACTTCCAGGACACTGGGGAAAAACCCCAATTCCTTAGCACCTTTGCTGTGCTTGATTTTGACTAGTGCCCTGGGCTGGGTTTGTTTGCCCTGGGTTTAAACTGATGTTTTAAAAAGGGGGAGTGACCCCATCAGGCTTTTTGGTCTTGATCTGTTGTGACTGGCTGTGTGACACTGGGCAGGGCCCCTTCTGTCTCTGGAGTTCTTCATTGTGCTACAAGGTGGTTCAGCTGGTGGGGTGTTGTTACTGTTCCCTCTGGCTGCACTGTTTTCATGAGCTGCTGCCCTGACCCAGGTCTCCTTTCATGGAATCTCATTTTGTTCTCACAGTTCTCCTCTTGGAGAGAGCAAAAGGCAGTACAGAATGAGACTCAAGGCTATGTAGGGTCTGGCTCCAGGATTCCAGTGTACACTAGACAGGAGTGGGTGGGAGAAGGAAGGAGAAGAATGGGACTCTTTTTCTTTCCCTCCCTCTCTCTTCTCTCTTCCTCGTCTTTTATCCCCCCTTCCTCTTCCTTCTTTTCCCTTTTCCTCTCCTCCCCAGAACTCCTTCTCCTTCTTTTATTTTGCAATGAGGCATCAGAACAGGACAAATCTTTTTTTTTTTTTTTTAATTCAAGCAGCTGTAGATGTAGTTTGAGGAGGTGGAA